TTTATCTATATTCCTATTTGATGAGTCAATAACATTATACTTTCCTTTAATTCTTTGTTATGCCTTTTAGTTCTTCGAACATATGAGAGTACTTCAAAAAGTTCATGAAAATATTTGTATTATCTTTTAATTCTATTTACCACTAACTTTTTGAAGTTCCCTTGTATATATTAGAGTTGTTTTGAAGTCCTTATCAGCTAAGTTTAACATTTAACCCCTCCCCCCAGAGACAGTTTCTATTGATTGAGTTTTTCCCCTGTGTATTGGTCATACTTTCCTATTTCTTTGCATGCCTCATAATCTTTATTGTTGTTGAAAACTATATGTTATAGATAATATGTTGGAGCAACTCTGAATTCTGAATGTTCCATCCCAGAGGTGTTTTCTGTTGTTTATTTTTTGTTTGTTTAGTGACTTTCCTAGACTAATTCTGTAGAGTCTGTCTCCCTTGCACAATGTAGCTACTGATACCTCTTAAGTTTTTAATTTTTTAATCATTTTTATTATTTTTTATTATTTTTATTTATTTTCCTTTTATTATTTATTTATTATTTTTAAATATTATTATTTTTTAATTTTTAAGGCCAGCATCCTAGGGGTTGTCTATGTTGACTCAAGGCCAGCACCCTTGAGTTAACATAGCTTAATGGTGTACCAATGATTAATCAGAAATTTTGCTTAATTACCTGAGCCAGTAAGCCTTCCAGCTTTTGCCAGTGGAGTTGTGTGTGGGTTGAGGGACACGTTCAAAATTTAGGCAGTTTTCAAGTCTGACGGGCTTTTGCTTTCTGATATGCCTTCTTGTGTCTCCTCTCTGAGTGTCCTAGGTTTCACATTCACCTGGGAACGCATGGATAGCCAGGGCCCTCTCTAGTCTCTACTGAGCATGTGCAGCCTTCTAGATTACTATGGGTATGTGTGAGCTTATCAAGGCTCACTATGGCTGCCTTATTCCTCACATCTTCCTGTTAAATTTCTTGCAAGTCTGCTAGTCTATTTCTTGCCCCTACCAGTATCACAACTTCAAGCTACCTGAGATATTAGCCTTCTCTGGAGCACATACTCCATTCCAAATCAAGTTATCCCCCTCCAGCAGTGAAGCTGCTGGTTTTTAGGAATTTTCCTACCCTTTTAGAACTACCAAGTTAATGGAAGCTGGAGGAGGGGGTTTTGATCAAAATTACTTCACTAAGCTACTTTGTTATTAATGAACATTAAGGTTTTTTCTAACTTTTTAGAACAGTGCCATGTTTATGGAGTTTCCTTCTTACCCTATGTATTACTTTCCTAAGCCTGTAATAACAAATTACCACAAACTTGGAGGCTTTAAACAACAAATTTATTCTCTCACAATTCAGGAGGCCAGAAGTCTGAAATCAAAGTATCATCGGGGTTAGTTCTTTCTTGGAGGCTCTGAGGGAGAATCTATTCCATGCCTCTCTCCTAACCTCTAAGGGTTGCCAGCAATCCTTAGCATAGCAGCACCTCCCCAATTTGTTTCCATAGTCACGTTGCATTCATCCCTGGGTGTCTGTGTATCTGAACTTCCTTCTCCTTTCTCTTATAAAGACAGCAGTCATTGGATTTGGGGCCTGTCGTAATCCAGTATGACCTTATATTAACTAATTACGTCTTCAAGGATCCTATTCCAAATAAGGTCACATTGTGAGGTTCCAGTAAACAAAATTAGACACTATTTAATCCAGTACATCATTTATTATGAAGTATCACCTGAAAATTATTATGGTCTTGTTGTAAATTATGGGATCTTTTGCGAAGATTAGTTTGAAAATGAATGAAACAGCAAGATGGCACTGCCAACTTGACTTTTTTATTTGAGTAGTTCCTCATATTAAGATAACTCACACTCTATTTTTTGGTTATTTTGTTCATACTGTTAAGAAAAAGGCAGAGAAATTTGTGGACAGGAAATGGTTGGCAGAGCCTCACCCTTCTCAGCTCTGACTTACATGTCTGCTTTTAATCTAGAGCCAAATAATTACCGGACCATGCATGGACGGGCAGTAAACGGCAGCCAGTTGGGAAAGGATTATATCCAGCTGAAGAGCCTGTTGCAGCCCATCCGGATTTACTCCAGAGCCAGCTTGTATGGCCCTAATATTGGGCGGCCCAGGAAGAATGTCATTGCCCTCCTAGATGGGTAAGTCAGATTCTTTAGCTATTTTTATGACATTTTTCATTAACTGTAATAAATTAATGCATTTGTATTTTTCGTGGTTATTTTTGGTCTTAAGAAGAAAGAAGGGACTTCTCTGTAGCAGCTTCCCCCACTCTAAATCAGGGATTCTACATCAAACAGTGGAAGAACTTCTCATCTCTCCACAGTAGGTAGTGGGTAGTAGGATGGAAGAGGGTATTACAATCTCCAGAACGAATTGGAAGGGACGCATTGCTTGAAAAACCACATTTAATATTACAGCATTTCATAGCACCATTTTATATTTTAGAAAAAGCAAAAAGATTACTCACTCTGTTCCAGTGAGCTCTTATAGAAAGTAAAGCTTTATAAAATCTTGGCCAATAGAGCTGGGTTATAAAGTTGAGAAAAACTACAAATACTTACAGATTAAAGCACAACTAACCTGATAGATTTATTAGCAGGTAGCCTGGGGAATTTCCGTCACTTGATTTATTTAATTTTGACTGATCTGACAATCATTTTTCAAGCATTGGTGTGGATGAGGTGCTATGCCTTTCTCTGTCTTTTTCCTGCTGGTAGGCCAGGCTCAAACTGGATTATTGAGACATCCGTGGAGGTTAGGCCCAGTTATGCAGGGTCAGAGGGAATACCTGACTATGAATTTGTTGCCAGTAAAGAGGTAGAATTGCAATCTAAGGGAGCCACAGTGGCATGAGGAAGGTCATAGATGTTGAATGGAGGTTGGGCCCAGTTATGCAGGGTCAGAGGGAATACCTCACTATGAATTTGTTGCCAATAAAGAGGTAGAATTGCAATCTAAGGGAGCCACAGTGGCATGAGGAAGGTCATAGATGTTGAATCCAAGTCCCAAAGTGGAGATGTTACCAGAGCAGGAAGGGTAGGAACATTTAAGTCGGGAGATTCAGGAGCTGATCTTGAACACAGTACCCTTGGGCACAAAGGCACACATTTTATGTGGAACCTTATCATAGTCTGGAATAGGTATGGTTGTTCTTTCAAATTCAAAGATGAGTGAGACTTTTTCCAGTGAAGGGCACAGACCAACTAAGGTTAGAGAAATGCCATACAAGTATAAACAGAGATACACGAGAAGAGGGAAACCTTTGTCTCCTACATGGCTCTTGTGACTCGATAGTCTTGTGATTCCTCTCTTTTTTGGTGACTTAGTCAATCTAAGCTTACGAACATAGCAGACATTACTGAAGGTTTGGAAGGGGGGAAGGATTTACACTGTAACAACATTAACAACCTGAGATTGAATTTTAGGCATTTTTCTCTTTACGAAAAGTTCTCGAGCTCTTATTTCTACTCCTATTCTTTCCTAACTTTTCTCTTTTCTCTCCTTGTCTCTCAGGAGCAACTTCCCCTTTTTTTGTAGAAAAATTTCATAACTTTAGCCCCTACTCACAAATACAGCTCTGGGCTTCCTTTTACATACTTTCATTGAGCTTTGAAATTACTCTGTGTATGTTGGGAGATGGGGAGCTAGAGATGGAGAGGTTGGTACTATTTTACCTGTTATAATTAGGGGATATGGGTCACATGTATAGAACTTTCCTCACATTTCGTAGATACAAAATCAAGCAAAGCTAATAATTAAGTCCATGTAGTTATTCTTTTGGATTATTCTTTTTCTTTAATGATTTGATTAATACATTCTTATAGGACCCACAATATCCTTTCAGTAGCATGACCCTCTATCAATGATTCATTTATTCTGCAAATGTTTCTCGAGGAGCTACATAGTTCCAAGTAGTATGTTAGGAGCTGGGAATATAATAACAAACAAAAACATACTTTTTTGCCCTCATAGAGTATTCACTATATCAGGGAAGACAGAGGCATTAATCAACTGATCTTAAAACTAGGATGTTATTAAGGAGAGGTACATGGTGTGATGAATGACTATAAGGTCACAGAAGGGTTCCCCAAAGAAGTGACACATAAAAGTAAGAGATGTATATAAGGTGTTGTATTAGTCCATTTTTGTGTTGCTATAACAGAATGCCTGAGGAGGTTTATTTGGCTTACAATTCTGGGACAGCTGCAGCTGGCATTAGCCTCAGGCTGCTTCTACTCGTGGCAGAGAGCAGAGGCAGCTGGTGGGTCCAAGCAGATCATATGGCGAGACAAAAAGAGAGAGAGAGAAGAAAGAGAGAGGAACTAATAGAGTGAGAACTCACTCACTACCCCCGCCCCAGAGCATTAATCCATTCATGAGGGATCCGCCCCCGGGCCTCAAACAGTTCCTAACACTGCCACATTGAGGATCAGATTTCCACATGAGTTTGGAGGGGGACAACACATCCAAGCTCTATCAGGTATAATCTAAAGGATGAGTAAGAGTTAACTAGACAAAGTGAGAAGTGAACAGTATCAATGCTCTTGGCAGAAAGAAAAGCATATGCAAAGGCCCTGAGGATGAGAAAAGGGACAGGTTAGCTAGAGAAAGATGCAGTTAGAAAAATGTGCAAAGGCCCTGAGGATGAGAAAAGGGACAGGTTAGCTAGAGAAAGATGCAGTTAGAAAAATAATTAAGTGTATTGTTATATAGGGGCTTATAGGCATAATGAAGGGCTTAGAATTTTTTCTGAGTGCATTTGGGAAGATATTGAATATTTTTAAGCTGGGGAGGGAAATAATTTTATTTATTATATAAAAATTATATTATGTCTACTCAGTGGAAAATGCATGAGAGAGAAAGCAGTGAAATCAATAATAAGGCTCCTGCAGTAGTAGTGCAGAGAAGGAATGATGGAGAACTGGACTCAGGTGGTAGCAGTGGAATATATTGTTGGAGGTAGAATCCATAGGACCTGATGATATATTGGATAATTATATGATAATGTGACATAGGGATGTGTAAATAATTGGAGAGATGCTGTTATTAGTTACTGATAAGGGAAGACTGGGGAATAACTGGTTCTGGGAAGAAAATCATGGCTTTGGTTTTCATGTTATGTTTATTGTGCTTGGATCTAAATGGAGATATCAAGTATATCATTGAATACAAGTCAAGTGATCAAGGTCTCTGCTAGAGATATTAATTTTGGGAATCTTTAGCATGAAAATGGGATTTAAAGCCATGAGAATAGAAAGACCAGTTAGGGAGAGTGTAGAAAATGAAGAGACAGGAAAACTAGAGATCCCTGAGGAACTCACACATTTAGAGATGTAAGAAAAGAGAAATGGCCTCAGAGGTGAAAGGAAAAGGAGAGAATGAGGTGCACATCAACAAAGATAAGAGAGTTTTGGATAATGAGGAAGTGCTGCTAGGAGGTCAGGAGGTCAAGTAACAGGAGGACAGAAAAGTGTCCTTGGATTTGGCAATATGTAGGTTTTGGTAACCTTGAGAAACTCAGTTCAAGGGAGTGGAGTGAATGGGGGTGAGAAATTAGAAACAATAGTGCAGACAACAACTCTTAAGAGACTTTTTACTGTGAAGGAAAATAGAAAAATGAAGGGAGATGTGTGCCAAGAAAGGTGATGGCATTTCCCCCCTTAAATGGAAGATAAAACAGTTTTGTACGTTGATGAGTTATCCATGAGAGGAGAAGAGCTGAATGATAGAGAGAAGGAGAATATAGCCAAAGTGAGAC